CCCTATTTGCCACTTTGTTTTGCACATTTTCACTTTCGACGGCGTTTTTCGAGAATTTTGGATTTTTTTCGAATTTTTTAACTAATATTAGGAAAATACATGAAATCGGAAACATTTTGGTGCAAAAAACCCAAACATCTCTAAATTTCTCACTTTCTTTTAAATTCTTTTTTCTCACATAAAGTTCAATCCAATTAGATTTGTCATCGAAATGCCCCTCCCTTTTCCTCCTATTCTCCTTTTCTCTTCAAAAACCAATACCATTTTTTTTGAATGGGATGAAACCTTTCAAAGCTTTCCCACGCTATTCTCCTCAACTTTCCAAAATTTCCGTTTGTACAATATCTTTCTCTCCTTCAATTGCTCCTCTCTTTTTTATCTCACCCAATTCTTCATTCTTTTTTTATGAGTAGTGCCCAATTTAGCGACAGTCGAACAGCTGCCAACATGTTTTATTGGTTTTTAAGAAGGGCGAATTCAGTTATTTCTTGTGGCAGGATAGTTTTCATTCTTTATGCGTCTGTGTTAGTATTCTGGTACATGTTAGTATTCTGGTACAAAAATGGGAGTTGTGGAAGAGGAAAACTGGTGGCGGCGGCCACGGCCGAACTACCGTAATTAGCAAATGTTTTTACTTTCTTTTTTTTTGAGTTTCGTCCTGGAAATTACGAGAAAAAAGGAAAGGAAATTTTTGATTACGGTAATTGTCGTTGTGGGACCTTCAGCCACGACTCCCGGTGTTTCTATTCCACAGCTCCGATTTCTTTATGCAAGTATTATAAAACACATTCAAACTATACTGGTCATGCACCAACGATACGAAGCACCTCTACCGTACCATACTTCCACGTCATGGATTTTTCTGTGTCTCTCTGAATCTTGAACTCTCTCTTGACCATGAATCACTACCCTTTCTACCTCTCCTTCTTTTCTTCTCCTAACCTCTCTTTTTGAATTTTTACCCGTTCATTTTCTCTTCTTTCTTCTTTTCTTTTTCGTCCCCACAACTTCTTCTAAGCTGTTTCTTTTTTTGAAAATACTTGTGCTCTTTTATGGATGAGCATGTATATGTGATGTGTAGTAAGAAAAAGAAGAATCCTTCTTTCCATTCTTCCTCTTCTCCATCTCTCTATTTCTCTTCCGTTGTTCCTGGTATCTGTGCCTTTTTTGCCCCACCAAACCACGATTTGTTGGCGCCTCGTTCGACTTCTAATTCGTTTTCGGCCCACTTGTCATGTCCTTTTATCTCGTCGTCGTTCGCCACGAATTCTGAACAATTCCGAAAACTTTGGCGCCCTTGATTCCCTTTCCCCTTTTGTCCGTTAGACACCTCCAAGATCTATTGGCCAACAGCAAAAAAAGGAGAAGAAGGAAACGAGTAGAAGAGAAAAAAGAATATAATTTGAGGCAGTTACCAAATATGTAGCTGTTCTTTTTTTGCCACTTCTTAATCTTTTTTTGCTGGATAGGGCATCTGAAAGCTGCTACTTCTGTTCTTTCAATTTCATTTAACGCTATCTGATTCTCAAATCTAGAAAAATTATTTTCTCTGAATTCTCTTTTCTCTGCTTTTTTATGCTGGTACAAAAAATCAGCAGGTCCCACAACGACAACTACCGTAACCTAAAAGTATTTCTGCACGATTTTTTTCTTATTTTGTAAACTTTTTTCGTCGAGCTTTCTTTTATTTTCCTCCAAAAAATCGCAAGAAATTGACTGAAAACGTGCAAAATCTAGAAAATAAACCCTGAAAATTAAAACGTTTTGGTTACGATAGTTTTCACTGTGGGACCTTCGGCAACGGCCACCGGCGTTTCTCTTCCACAGCTCCAATTTTTCTCGTACCAGCATAGTTAGCATCTCTTTTACAGTTCTGGAATTCTAGATTTTCACATCTTTCTCAGAAAATTCTGAAATTTAAATACAGTCAGACTCTGATCATCGGTCAACATTGTTTTTATGTTATTTTTTAGCTTTATGAAATCATGTTTTTACTGATTGCCTATCACATGGTTCTCTATGAAAATTTCTCTGAGTCATTCAAGCATTTTTTATTGTTGGTGTTCTCTCTCCGCCCATTGTTTCTCTACCATTCGAATTGGAAAGCCCTCCCCATGAGTCAGTGAGATCAGTTGCCCTCTCTCTCTCTCTTCCTGATATCCATCAGTGTGTTGTTTTATCTTCGTGATGGGTGGCAATATCGTTTCTCTCGACCGTTCGTCTTCTTCTTCTGTCCTTTTTTTGTTTTATGACCGTCTTCTCTTTACGTCGGAAATCGGACACGGGGGGTAAGAATACCCCTCTTCTCCTTACCCAGAATCTATACCGATACATCAGTTGAAAGCCAATCTCTCCCCTTTCTAGCAACTTCTACTCAATAATTCATTCTTTTTGATGTTCTGCTCATTTCGGCAGCTCATCCGTTGACTCTTCCCAATAGCGGCGTTCCAAAAGCAAGATTGATGTGTTATGAATAATGAGAAGAGAGACGAATATGGAGAGAAACGAACTGCCAATATTCATAAAGAACATAGGAAGAAATAGGTTCTTTCTATATGTGGCTCAGACCCCTTTACGACCTTCTTCCGTGACACCAGTGAGGGTAATGTGAAAGAAAGGATTTCGAGATATCTGTCCGATCGACTTAGCACAATGTGCCGGAAGTGTATAGCCTCCATATAGGGACTTTAGTTTTTTGTCTCACATTTTTCTGAAAGCATTTTCAGTGACTTGCTTATAATCCGAGATATTTAGAGTTTAAGATGAAATAGCCCTAATTTATTTCGATGTTTTTTTGTTGAGTATCCTTTTTTTAGTTAAGAGGGATCTTTTGAGGGAATAAAATTCCGTCCGGAAGAAGTTCTGAATTTTTATCGTAGTTTGAGTTTCAGTATGCCGAAGGAGCACACGATAAGTTTCCTGGCGGGTCTCGAATGGAATTAGGTACTTTCCACATTTTTTTCTTTTTCGCTATCAATCCTCCAATTTTTCAACAATTCTTCGCGATTTTGTGATGGGAAAGTCGAATTTATAAATTTTTGAAACTTGAATTTTCTGAAATTTTGAAAATCGGAAGGAATGCTCTGATTCTGAACTTTCGACACTCAAATTCTGAACTTTCGACATTCCGAAAAATTCCGAAATTTCTTTTAAAGGCCATTGCAAGCATGCCTGATAAATACCAGAATTTATTTTTTGACGAAATTCCAGAGAAACTAATTTCTGAAAAAAATTTACGAGAAAAATATTATCGCTGAAAAAATGAAGGACAGAGAGTATTTTTTGCAGTCTGATTACGGTAGCGATCTCGAAGCGACGAGCATAAACAGCACATATTAATTAGAGACGCAGACTTTTTTTCTCTGCGTCTCAACCTTCATTTTTTCAGACAGCGATAATAGCATGCGCCTTTAATCTACCGTAGCCCGCGCGAAACAAATTCGAAAATTCTCGGAGCGACTTTTGTTTTTTTTTCTGTTTTCCCGTTTTTCCGGGTTTCTGACCAAATTTTCAGTACGAATTCGGAAAAAAATCTGCTAGAATTGTGTTTTAACAACACATCTTCCTCTATATAATTTTCGGTTCTATCATTTTTGTGACCTAAAAGCCATTGTCCTGTCTCTGCCCACACGTCGAATAGGTGACATCTCGTGCGTAGAGAACATTGGAGCAATAAAAATCGAGTAGCGTGACGCGGAACGCATTCTCCTCGTCTCCGTACTCCAGAAGCGTCCTTGGAAGGAGACGTCTCTGTTTTGAAAATCGAGCAGCTATTTATTTCTGCGAAATTCTAGATTGCAAAAAGAGATTCGGGCGCCTACCGGTAAAGTACAATGCCATCGTGGCGGCGCAGATATTGTGTCAAAGTTGCGGGTACTGTCAACGATCATCTATCACTTCGTTGACTTCTTCTTTCCCCATCTCTCCATGTCTCACCGATCGCATTCCTTTTTCTCTTTTTTTTCTTATTATTTGATTATTAACCTTCTAAAATAGTTAACAGATTTTCCAATTATTGATCTAAATCTAATTTTTTTCCGATTCCAGAAATTTCTCTCAGCTAATAAAACTTTTCAGATCATCAGTAAACACATAAGATTCCTCTTTCTCTCATCGTTAATCTCGTCAAAACTGCCTGTTCTCCTCATGGTCACTTCTTCGGTCAGCGGGGTACATTCCCACGAATTCTCGCTTTTTTCATTTGCATAATCGGAAGGAAAGACCAAATCGGACTTTTTTTCTTTTCATTGGGGTGGTCTTCTAATTTTTTTATTCTTTTTTTTCGTTTTGAAACTTTTCTGGTTTTTCTGGGATGGTCCGAGTTTCAACATTTCGGAAACTTTGAAATTTTCAATTAAAATTCCCACTTTTCCATCACAGAAGCTCGAAAATTGGGGGTACGACGAATTCGAACGTTTTCAAATTCGAACAGACCTAAAATCGAACTGATTCAATTCAGAACAGTCCT